AAAATCTTGAATTTTGCAGCAACCCGGATGGAACTAGAGTCTATAATATTGAGTGACCTCTCACAGAAACAAAGATCTGAGTATCACATGTTCTCACTCATAGAGTGGACCTTGAACATCCAGTGTAATACTATAAGAAAATGACTGACAGTGGTGGGAAACTATGGGGGGGGAGGGGAAGGAAGATAGGATTAATGGTAGTAAATATCTGTCTGGGGATGGGGAGACCCTCTTATCAACAAGGTCGCCTGATCGAAGCATATTTGTATACCTAACCCTTAACTGTACCCCACAATATCACAATAAAAAAATATTGATAAAAAATGACAACTAAACAAATAAACTCCTTGCTTAAAAAAAAAAAAGAATAACTACACAAGATATGGATTCAACCTAAGTGTCTATCAATGAATGAATGCATTTGTTAATGTGGTCTAGATATACAAGGAAATACTCTTCAGCTTTGAAAAGGAAGTCCTGTCATATGGGACAACATGAATGAACCTGCAGGATACTATGCTAGATGCATAAGCCAGGTACAGAAAGACAAATATTGCATGATCTCACTGACATTAGGAATCCAAAAAAGTCAAACTCAGAGTCACAGAGAGTGACAGAAAAGCAGAGTCACAGAGAGTTAGAATGATGGTTTCCAAGGGCGGTGGGGGTGGGAAGGGAGTTGGAGAGATATTAGTCAAAGGAAGCAAAGTTTCAGTTAAATAGGAGGAATAAATTCTGGAGATCTATTGTAAAACATGGTGACTACAGTTAGTAACAATGTATTACATACTTGAAAATTGCTGACCAGATAGTATCTTTGGGAGGCCTAGGCAAAGGGATTGATTGCTTGAACCCAGGAGTTCAAGACCAGCCTGCGCAACATAGTGAAACCTCATCTCAAAATAAATAAATATATAAAGTTTTTTTTAAAAGAAATAGTTTTAAAAATTGCTAAGAAAGTAGATTTTATTCTCTAGGCCAGGCATGATGACTCAAACCTGTAATCCCAGCACTTTGGGAGGCAGAAGTGAGAGGACTGCCTGAACAGAGGGGTTCGAGACCAGCCTGGGGAACTTAGCAAGATCTCGTCGTTATAGCAACAAAAAAAATAATTTAGCCAGGCATAGTGGCATTCAACTGTAATTTCAGCTGAAGTAGAAGAATCTCCTGAGCCCAGCAGGTTGAGGTGGCGGTAGCTGTGATCACGCCACTGCACTCCAGCCTGGGCAACAGAGTGAGACTGACTGAAAAAAAAAAGTATTCTCATCACAAAACATGATAAGTATATGAGGTAATGATATGTTAACTAGTTTGATTTATATATATATATAAGTTTTATCTCTCAATTTAATAAATAAATTTTTAGCAGGGCTCGGTGGCTCAGCCTGTAATCCCGCGCCTTTGGGAGGCTGAAGTGAGTGGATTGCCTGAGCCCACAGGTTCGAGACACGCCTGGGCAACTTGGCGAGACCTCATCTCTACAATAAATCAAAAAACTAGCCTGGCGTGGTAGCGCGTGTCTGTAGTTCCAGCTCCTTGGAAGGCTGAGGCGGAAGGATCGCTGGAGCCCAGCAGGTCGAGGCTGCGGTGGCTGGGAGCGGCCACTGCACTCCAGTCTGGGTGACAGAGTGAGACTCCAACTCAAAAAAATAAATAAATAAACAAAAATAAAAATAAAAAATAAATTTTCAAAGTCAAAAAAGTAATATTTCTTGAGCACTTAGGTTGTGTCAGGTGTGCTTAATCCTTCCTTCCAAGGACCTTAATGAGGCAGGGAGATTTTTATCTCCCATTTTGCAGATGGGAAAAAGAAAGCACAGAAAGGTGGTGTAAAAATGGCTAAGATCGCACAACTTGTAATCAGCAGTGCCAGGATTAAATTCCAGAAGCCTGGCTTAAGTTTGCATGTTCTTAACCATGAGACTATTTTTTAAAAATATATAACCATTAAAAAATGGAACCCATGCTAATGAGTGAAAATTAGTAGAGATGGGGAAAGAAGGTGTCATCAGTTTTTATTACTACATTCCCTAAATGTGACTCATTTGAAAAAAACTTGTGGTAATATGAGGATGGGAGCAGTGTAACAACGAGATCCTGAGAGATGAAGAAAAGAGGGCTGAATGTTGCTCGCCATCCCTTCCCCCATGCATGCCCCATCCCCCTGACATTCAAATCCTGCTTGACACCCTCAGAGTGTGCCACTCCTGGCCTTCCCCTGCTGAAAATGGCTTCAAGGGGGGGATCATGTTATAATCACTAAATTCTAGAGCTGAGCTCATGCAGAGTTCCCCAGTTGCAAGGGGTTCTCAAATACAGGGACCCACAAGCTATTTCCAACACTTGACCCAACCTAATGGAAATCATGCATTCATCTGGGAACAGGACCAAGTCCTGAGTATTTAAAATGTTCCATTTCCATGCTTAGAGCTGGAATTAGCACTTGAAAAAGTCTGCATTAAATGCCTGGCACAGAGAAGATGCTTGGGAAGCATTTGTCTCCTTACCCTCCTCATAATCTCTTCAAAAAAACTCCTGACTCCCTGGGAAACATCTCCCCTCAAATGCATAGAATGATGTGGGACTGTTCAAAGAGACAGACCAGCCTCCTCCCTCGCCACCCAGGTTCTTTTACTGCTCAGAAAAATCTGATGTGTAGATCACATCTTGGGAAAGAGCCCACAGCCCTTACCTGTGGATGGTGGAGGTATTCCTCATGTTGAAGCTGGAGGAGCTGATCCTCTCCAGAAATGCCTGGGCCAGCTCTGGGGTGATGTCATAGACTGTGTCCAGCTGCTTGGTGGCATTGTCATAGCTGATAAACAGCCCAATCTAGCGTACAAAGACAGAAAGGTCAGTGAGGAAGGCATAAGTGACCCAGTATAGCCCCACTCTGGTGGTCTGAGCTATGCCCCAACCCCAGACACTTAGATACACCACCCGATTTTCATTGTCATTGATTTACCAATTTTTTTTTTTTTTTTTTGAGTCGAGTCTCACTCTGTCCCCAGGCTGGAGTGCAGTGGCACAATCACGGCTCACCACAGCCTCAACTAAGCTCAGGTGATCCTTCTGCCTCAGCCTCCTGAGTAGCTGAGATTATAGGCATGTACCACCACATGGGGCTAAATTTTTTTATTTTTATTTTTTGTGTGGAGATAAGGTCTCAGTATATTGCCCCAGCTTGTCTCAAACTCCTGGGCTCAAGCAGTCCTTCCACCTCAGCCTCCCAAAGTGCAGGGATTATAGGCATGAGCCATCAAACCCAGTGTCATTTATTTCTTAATGATCTGTAACTGTTGCTTTGGTTTCCTCTTCAACTCCACTGTTACTTAAGAAAGTTATTATTTTTTAATATCTGAGTCATTGGACTTTTCAAAACTAATCTTTACACATTCATTCTTAGATTTATTATATTAAATGCACACCACAAATTTTCTGCGTTGAAGAATCAGAATTTTTTATTTTTTTTATTTTTTTTTATTTTTTTAATTTTTTTGAGTTGGAGTCTCACTCTGTCGCCCAGACTGGACTGCAGTGGCCGCTCCCGGCCACCGCAGCCTCAACCTGCTGGGCTCCGGCGATCCTTCCACCTCAGCCTTCCAAGTAGCTGGAACTACAGGCGCGCACTACCATGCCCGGCTAAGTTTTTTATTTATTGTAGAGATGAGGTCTCACCAAGTTGCCCAGGCGGGTCTCAAACCCGCGGGCTCAGGCAATCCGCTCACCTCAGCCTCCCAAAGCGTGGGATTACAGGCTGAGCCAGAATTTTTTAATAGATAAGCAAGTTTATAAGTGATAGATCACTCTTAAGTGGACCCTGAACATATTATTATGGTAACATAATACTGTAAGAAAGGAATTGGCAGTAGCCAGAAACTGCCAGGGGAGGGAGGGGGGCATATAACATCAATAAGGATACCTGATCTCAAATTAGGCAAAGTGGGGACCAAAGGGAGGCCCAAATTTTACCTATGAGATGACCACTTGTATACCTAATCCTGAATTGTAACCCACATCTTTAAAATAAAATAAAATTTAAACAACAAAATAAATAAGTGATGGAAAAGAATATGTGTTCTCTTTGTAAGACACAAAGTTTGGTGTGTGTATATATGTATATATACATATATACACATACATATATATATTATGTCTCTCTGTGTATGTGTATTACTTTATTAAGTATACTATTCTCTACATGCTTGTTCCTCTTTTGTCTGCATGTCCACGGGTGGCACGTTAAAGTCTGCTGCTGCTATTGAGCTCCTACCCATTTTTCCTTGTATTTCCAACAGATTTTGCATCCTATATTTTGAGGCATTGTTATTGTGTTTAAAGGAGCTCACTGAGTTGTCTCTCCTTTGTAGATTGTACTTTTTGTTCATATAATATCCCTCTTAAGGCTGGTACTCTTGGCTTCCCCTCCCTTCTCTACATTTTTAAAGACTGAAAAATGAAAAATGGATGCTTGATCTTAACATTTCCCCTAGAGGCCCAGTCTTCTAAGAATTTAACCTGTATTCAATTTCAGAAAGTCACTCAACATTGGGAGAGTGAATGAGGGGGGAGGGCTGACCCTAGAACTGGGGGCTACAAAAATTAGAAGATGCTGGAAATAGTCCCAGCCTCCCTGGTAAAAGAGAAGAACCTCATTCTGCCTCTGGATTCATAATAACCAGACATTGTTGGGTCAACAGGTCCTTGAATGAGCCAGTCATTTGGTGCAAACATTTATCTCCCAGCCAGGAGAAGGTCAGGGCACATGTGATTTTTTTTTAATGGAGGTAAGCCCCAAACTCTTCCTGAATGCCCCTATGTTGGTAGAATTCTTTGGAGAGCTGCATTCCAGAATCATGATGCCCAAAGGATTTTAGTATCATTGGGTCAACATCAGAAGAAGGAAAGAGACAAGTTGACTAGTGAGTTAAGTAACCTTAGGCCATGGACATTTCTCCACTGTTAACTCTGCAGTTAAAATCTAATCATTGTTCATGCTGACTTAGCTATAAATATAAATAGCTATAAATATAAGTAGTTATTAATCCATGTTGCTTTTGGTTTGCATTCATACTCCCAAAGACAGAAACTTCTCTCTTTCTTTCTCTCTCTCTCTCTCTCCCCCCCCCCTCCTTTTCTGAGTACAAACATACCTTTAAATGACTTTTGGTTCATAGTCAACTATTCCTTTGTATCCTGTATATTCACATTAGAGCTATCTTCATTGTCCACAATTTTCTTTTCTTTTCTTAGCTCTTCTATACTAAAACACCATCCTATGACTGACCACTTGAGACTTTGTTCCAATAGTTTTCTGTGGAGGCCCAAGATATATTAGCAATTGTTCAAGTTCCAAGGCACCTTGACTGGTTGGCTGAACATCAGAGGTTGAAAGAACACTATCCCAGGTGTATTGGTGATGGGGACATAGAAATGTACTTTTCCAACTTACTTCTACAGGACTAATTTTCATAATTTCTTCAAATGATAGGTGAACCATGTATCTGCCCAAAATCCATAAGTTTTCTGCACTGACCCATGAAGCAAAGTCATCTACAAAAAAATGAATACATGAATAAATAAGTAAATAAATAAAGAGAAGCCTTTACACTGGTATGTGATAGTAGTCAACAGCATCTTTGGTGTTGGGCATCCTTCTTGCATTCATTAATTCATCATGAATTCATTCAACAGGCATATACTGAGAGCCTACCTGTGAGACTCTATGCTACACACAGGACATGATCTCTGATGCCACCACCTGGAGATCCAGCATCCCCTGGGAGCTTAGTAGAAATGCAGATTGTTTTTGTAATACTTAAGATTACAAAATATAATTTTAGTTCAATTAGTTACTAAATAATCTGGCAACTTGAAATATATTTGACTCTCTTTCATTACTCCCATAATAATGATGATCATCCTTATAATCAACATGTCACTATATACCTCCCAAATGTTCTCCCAATCTCTATTTGCAGTGGCCCTTCTCTCCACCCAGAATGACTTTCCTCAATCCTTCTGCATCCAAATCCCACCCTCAAGATCAAGCTCCAACTTTCTCTTCCTTAAAGCCTTCTCTTACCTCCTTCACCAGAAATACTTTCTCCTTCCTCTGAGTTCCCAGAGGGCTCTCTCTGTCATCCTGTTCTGGCATGTGAAATTCCCTATAACTGAGATGTCAGTAGGACTTTCAAACCAATCATGTTCAGGATCCACCCCCAAGTTCCACTGAGCTGGAATTGGCCACCACTGCCCCCCAGTCCTTTAGTAAAAGATATTTACACTCAACCACATTAGATTGGTGGCATTCGGGAAAATGAAAGAAATAGGAAACATTTATAGGGTGTGGTGAATCTGTCACCAAGAGCTGTTGCAGAAGCCATGGGCAATAACAGATACCCAACCAAGATGGAGACGTCAGGCCAGATGAAGTAGTTCACTCCTATAATCCCAGCACTCTGGAAAGCTGAAGCCAGAAGATTGCTTGGGCCCGGGAATTCAAGACCAGACTGGGCAACATAACAAGACATCATCTCTACAAAAAAACTGAAAAATTAGCCAGGCATGGTAGTGCGTACCGGTAATCCCAGCTACTTGGAGGGCTGAGCTAGGAGGATCACCTCAGCCTGGAGGTCAAGGCTGTGGTGAGCCATGATTGTGCCACTGCACTCCATCCTGGGCAACTGAGTGAGAACTCAACTCAGAAAAAGTTGGGGGGGGGGAGAGTTAGCTTTTGCATGGGCTGAAGGACAAGAACAAAGGGGGGGTCCTCCCACAACCCTGGAATCAGAGATATTGGGGTGAACACAGTCAGACTCTCTATGATCCCCTAGAAGAGGACTCTAGACATTTGCCTTGGTTATTAGAGGAAAGTGTGGCCCCAGAGGGCTAGAGAGTTTTGAGGGTAGAATCACAAAATTCACCCAGCACAAAAATGAGTTGTTCATTATTTAACTGATGATTAATTACAAACTGTATTTCTGCAGATCAATGGTTCCCAAGCTTGGGATATTTTTAATAGCCAAAGTATTTCTAGTTACCTCATGAAACTTCATGAAAAAAATTGTTAATGTCCAAATATAATTAATTTTAATTCACTGTAGTTTAATAATAAAACAAACCATATAGGAATTTTAGGAGGAAAGGCTGTGCCTAATTAAACTCTGGCAATAAAGACAGGGAAGTCTTGAGGTTGAGTGACTTTCTCACAGTTACACAGTGTGAGGCTGAGATTCCTGGAGGCCATAATTATGCACCAGGCTGAAGGAATTCTACTCTGCATTTGAGACATTGATTATTATGTTGTTTAATGTTCATTAGACACAAATCTCAGAGCCTAATTCCAGGAAAAGGGCCGACTGGCATTCTCTACACCCCAATCCCACTGGGTATCTTTATGGTTCCCCCACACCAAGCTCATTCCCACCTCAGGGCCTTTGTACACACTGTTCCCTCTGCCTGGAATGCCATTTCTCACATGACTGACTCCTTCTTCTCATTTTGGTCTTAATTCAAACATCACCCACCCGAGAAGTCTTCCTTAATCCAGGGGTTGGCACCTATAGCCTGTGGGCCAAACTCGGCCCACCACCTGTCTTGATATCGCCCGTGGGCCAAGAATAGCTTTTACATTTTTAATCAGTTAAAAGGAAAATCCAAAGAAGAATGATATTTGGTGACATGAAAATTATATGAATTTCAAATCTCAGTGTCCATGAATAAAGTTTTATTGAGACACAGCTGCTATATCAGAGCTGAACGAGACAGTGAGGATAGGCTCACAAAGCCTAAAATATTTACTGTGGCCCCTACAGAAAACATCTGGCAAACCCTCTTCTAGTCTAAAGTACCTGTAGTAATCATTTCCATGACATTTATCCATTTTATTTTCTTTATAGCAATTGCCAGTATCTTTTTCTTCCTTTTATTTTTATTTATTTATTTATTTATTTTTTTTTTTTTTTTGAGTCGGAGTCTCACTCTGTCACCCAGACTGGAGTGCAGTGACACAATCATGACTCACCACAGCCTTGACCTCCCAGGTTTAGGCAATCACTCCACCTCAGCCTCCCAAGTAGCTGAGACTACAAGCACATGCCATCACACCTGGCTATTTTTTTTCTTATTATTATTATTTCTTGTAGAGACAAGGTCTCACTATGTTGCCTAGATTGGTCTCAAACTCCTAGACTCAATCGATCCTCCCACCTCGGCCACCCAAAGACTGGGATTACAGGCGTGACTCACTGTGCCCCACCTCTTTTTCTTTTCTTTTCTTTTCTTTCTTTCTTTCTTTTTTTTTTTTAGGTTGGAGTCTCACTCTGTCACCCAGGCTATAGTGCAGTGGCATGCTCATGGCCACCGCAGCCTCAACCTGCTGGGCTCAGGTGATCCTTCCACCTCTGCCTTCCAAGTAGCCAGAACAACAGGCACACACTACCATGCCCGGCTAATTTGTTTTGATTTATTGTAGAGACGAGGTCTCGCCAAGCTGCCCGGGCTGGTCTCAAACCCACGGGGATCAAGCGATCCTCCCACCTCAGCCTCCAAAAGGCTGAGATTACAGGTGTGACTCACTGTGCCCCGCCTCTTTTTCTCTTTATTTATGTACTTTTAAAAAATTTTTTCCACCTACCCTCCCACAGTAAAACAATAGAGCCGTGAAAACAGAGATTTTGTGTTATTTTCTTCTCTATCCTCAGCTACTGACACATAGTAGGCTCTTTTAAAAGTGTTTGAAAGTTTGTTCTATTTGCATTACTGACAGGAAAATTTAAAAAGTTGAAGCCATCTGAGAAATTGCTTGCCTTCCTCATCTATACAACCATTCTTTTCTTTTTTTCCAATTGTGTTAAAATATACATAGCATAATCACTTTTAAGTGTACAGTTGAGGGGTAGTAAGTACACTCACATTGTTGTGCAACTGTCACCACCATCCATCCAGAATTTTTTGCATCTTGCAAAACCAAAACTCTACCACCATTCTAACTTCAATCTCTGTGAATTTGACTACTCTAGGGCACACTAGGATTTTAATAAACATCTATCAAATAAACAAATCCTGATCTATTTCTGCTTTGGTTGCCAGGAAGCTCAGAGTTAAATTTCTGTGCTTTATTACCTATATTTTCTAACAAAACTATCTTGGCTCACTTTAATATATATTTTGTATAAAGATTTTGAACTTGCAAGCCTATACTAAAGGTTCTCATTGAATCTAAGATGCTATCATTATTTATGTCTCACTAAAAAAACTAGGGCATGCCAATGATTATAAGATACAGACACATCATTATTTCAGAGACTTCAACATGTGCAAAGTGCATTTGTGAAATGGGGGTATATGTTTCATTCCATACACCACATCAAACACTTTTTGGAAGTGGCAGGGGGTGGCAAAAATCATAAGAGACAATGAAATCAAACCCACATTTTCAGAGATGAAGCACTTCTTTGAGGATGTACTTCCCCAAAAAGTGACCCCACCTCAAAGCACAGGCTCACCAGTGGCATTGGAGGAAGTCTGCAGTATCTCGGTCATCCAGGAGTAGAGTGCTCTCTGGGAATGAGCAGAGGTTTGGTCGTAGAGATCTTTGAACACTGCAGATCTAAATAACACAAGCACAGTATTAATTAATAACAAACAGATGGAGGCTGCTTTACAAGGGAGTCAGAACAGCAAATTGTGCCACAGCTGTCTTATTACTACCCTTCCCACCCCTCTGCTACATGTAGCTATTTCTCCCATTCTCCTCTTCCCCTTCACAGCTAAACATCTTCCAAAGAGTGCTCTATACATACTGTCTTCACTTGCTTCCTTTTGCTCCTATTGGTGGGGGGAGGGGAGACAGCTTTATTGAGAAACAATTCCCATATCCTACAATTTATCCACTTAAAGTGTACAACTCGATGCTTTTCAGTGTATCCCCAGAGTTGTGCAACCATCATAACAAACAATTTTAGAACATTTGAAGCACCTCAAAGGCAACCCCATCCATATTCTTAGATATCACCCCTCAACTCCCAAGTCCCTTCACCTCCTAGGATCCATTAATCTACTTTCTGCCTCCATAGATTACCTGTTCTAGAAACTTCCTATAAATGGTGTCCTACAGTATGTAGTCCTGTGTCTTGCAATCTTGAAGCATGATGTTTTCAAGATTCATGCATGGTGAAGCATGTATCAGTACTTCAGTCCTATTTATGATCAAATAATATTCCATCAAATGAATAGACTATATTTTGTTTGGTGAACATTTTTGTCTTTTATGAAAAATGCTGCTATAAAATCAGCATACCAGTTTTTGTGTGCATATGGTATGTCTCAATGTCTCTTGGGTATACATGCAGGAGCGGAACTGCTGGGTTAAATAGCAACTCTGTTGAACCTCTTGAGGAGCTGCTAGACTGTTTGTAAAGCAGCTGCACCATTGTATATATTCCCAGAAGCAGTACAAGAAGATTCTGATTCCTGCACATACTCGTCAACACCTGTAATTCTCTGATATTTTGATTACAGACCTCTTGCTGGATGTGAAGTGTCCTGGTCACTTTTCTTTTCTTTTTTTTTTCTGAGTTGGAGTCTCACTCTGTTGCCCAGACTAGAGTGCAGTGACTGCTCCCGGCCACCACAGCCTCGACCTGCTGGGTTCCGGCAATCCTTCCACCACAGCCTTCTAAGTAGCCAGAATTACATGCATGCACTACCACGCTCGGCTGATTTTTTTTTATTTATTGTAGAGATGAGGTCTTGCTGCCCAGGGGGGTCTCGAACCCGCGGGCTCAGGCAATCCACTCACCTCAGCCTCCCAAAGGCACGGGATTACAGGCTGAGCCACCGAGCCCGGCTACTGGTCACTTTTCAAACCACTGCAATCCAGTTTTCCCAGATGCGGTTTCACCACATCAGTCCTTGTGACCCAAGTCACCAATGACCTCCTTCTGGTCATAGTCAGAGGTCCTCTTTGGTCCTAATAGGACTTTCTCTTTCACAGCATTTGGTACTGACCATCCCTCTTGCTCATCCTGCGAAACAGCTGAGTCTCCTCCTCCTGGAAGTCTTCCCTCACCCCCACTTACCACCACTGAATATCAATTCACCAACAGCCCATTCACCAACATTTTCTAAGCTTCAATTTTATTGCTGTTTCTCCTCCAGCCATTTTATATGTGAATAGACAAACTTTCCCTTAAGCTCAATGTAATGTCTTCTCTAATTTTTTTTTTATTTTTCTTAAAAGCAAGAGTAGATGTACAGGCAGGGGCAGGGACTGGGACAAGATACAGTTCTTTTTTAAAAAATGATAAATATCATTTAAGGGAAAGCTTGCTCATTTGTAAAATATTGGTTCTATCATCCCCTAGGAGTCTGACCTAGGGCAAGTCATTTAGTCTCTCTGTGCCTTAATTTCCTCATCTGAAAAATGGGAATGGGATTAATGGCATGATCCTCACAAGGAGAAGAGGGCAGAATAGAATGGGAAGGGGAAAGAATTGGGGTTCCAAAGACATGGATTGAGTTAAGATAAAGACAAATTCTACAGGGTCACCTCAGAGACACTGTCCCTTCTCTAGCCCTCAGTTTATTTATCTATGACTGAAGGGGTTGGCTTACATGGTGCCCATTAGAGTGGAAGTAGGGGCATATTCCAGACTCTCTACTCAAGAGCTGGGCATCTGGAGTTGGGCAATGTTACATCTATATTGTTCTTCCTCTTTCTGTATACAAGTCTGCAAGGCTCATAACCTGCCCCCTAGGTATTATTCAGGATCTACATGAAGCTAGGTTTTGTAGTGGACATCTGTGGGCTTTGTCCAGCATCCATCCCCCTTTTCTCATAACAGCACCTTTTTTTTTTTTTTTTTTTTAGAAAACATCTCATTTCTTCCACTCTTGGTCCATGTTGTTCGGGTTGGGTTTTGACCTACATCTAAGCCATTCAAAACATATTAGATCCTAGCCGGGCTCGGTGGCTCAGCCTGTAATCCCGCGCCTTTGGGAGGCTGAGGTGAGTGAATTGCCTGAGCCCGCGGGTTCGAGACCCGCCTGGGCAGTGAGACCTCATCTCTACAATAAATCAAAAAATCAGCTGGGTGTGGTGGCGCATGCCTGTAATTCCGGCTACTCGGAAGGCTGAGGCGGAAGGATCGCTGGAGCCCAGCAGGCCGAGGCTGCGGTGGCCGGGAGCGGCCACTGCACTCCAGTCTGGACGACAGAGTGAGACTCCAACTCAAAAAAAAAAAAAACATATTAGATCCCCTTAGTCACAGTCATTGGCCCAAGAATGGGCATATGACTCAGTTTGGACCAATAGAAATCAAGTCTAAGACTTTGCTTGGAACTGGTGGAAAGAGAAATTCTGTCTCTTCTGGACTGGACATTCTAAGAAGCAGGCCAATCTGCTTGGGCTACATGTGGAAAGAGCCAGCCTGAGATGAGGCCAACCCACAGGAGGAAGGGCAGAGAAATAATGAGTCAAAGACATTCCTAATGTCATAATTTGAGCCTCTGGATCCAACTGTGCCTGAAGCCAGCCCTTACACCTAAAACTATTCAATTACATCATCCAATAATCCCCTTTTTGGTTCAAGCCCGTTTGAATGAGTTTTTCTGTCACTTGCAATCAGGTGAGCAGTGACCAATAAACTCCCTCTCCCAAAGACGTTCGTGCCATCACCACGCCCATCCTCATACAGCCTGAGTGAGTGGAAGAGGGAGGAGACACTGGATTTAAAAGGGATGGTGTTTTGGCATGCTGAGCAAAAGGCTTTTATGTGTTTTATGTCTTGGTCAAAACAGACACCAGGAAGACAAAAATGAGGTCAGTATATTATCTGTTTTTCCTACAGTCCTTTAGCTGCAAAATTAAAATTAAAAGAATATCCCATGCTGCTGTCATCATATTGGTCCTTCCCTGTTTCTAAATTATTGTAGATTTAGAAAGAGCCTTGCAAGGATGTAAGGGATGTAAAGTGTTACAATTAGTAAAAGGAGGGAATTGGAGGTAACAACGCCTAGGGCCCTCTGAGTCCTAGACACAGCCCTCTAATTTTGCGTCCCTCAAAGTGTAATCTCATACAGAACTGGATGCTAACAAAGATGAGCTGGCATGGCATCCAAAAGGGAGGAGTTCTCCTCTTTCTGTGCTCTGTTACTCCTGTTGTCCCTCAAGGAGAGTCTCCATTTAGTGCCAGTGAATCTTTCACATACACTCAGCTCCTTTTTTTTTTTTTTTTTTGAGTTGGAGTCTCACTCTGTTGCCCAGGCTGGAGTGCAGTGGCATGCCCACGGCCACCCCAGCATTGACCCACTAGGCTCTGGCAATCCTTCCGCCTCAGCCTTTTAAGTAGCCGGAACTACAGGCACACACTACCACGCCTGGATAGTTTTTTTGTTTTTTTTTTTACTGTAGAGATGAAGTCTCACCAAACTGCCCAGGCTGTTCTCAAACCCATGTGCTCAGACAACCCCCTCACCTCGGCCTCCCAAAGTGCTGGGATTACAGGGTTGAGTCATTGCACCCGGCCTTCAGCTCCTTTTTTAATTAAGAGAACAGTTCCCAAGCTTAGAGCTTTGGTGCTATAGATTAAATGTTTGTGCTCCCCCAAAAATCATAATCCCCAAGGTTATTCAGGGGTTATCAGGTCATGAAGCTGGAGCCATCACGAATGGGATTAATGGCCTTTTTTATTATTATTATTTTTAATGGCCTTTTAAAAGAGACACCAGAGAGTTCCCTTGCTTCTTTCACCATGTGAGGACACAGCAGGAAGATGCCTTCTATAAACAGGAAGCAAGTCCTCATCACACACCGAATCGGTCCAGTCTCTGGACTGTGAGAAAGACATATTTGTTGTGAGGACCAAAGGGCGGCCCAAACTTTACCTACACGATGACCACTTGCATACCTAATCCTGAATTGTACCCCATATCTTTAAAATAAAGTAATTTTTTTTAAAAAGAGAGATATATTTGTTGTTTAAGCCACCAGTCTATGGTATCATTGTGTTAGCAACCCAAAATGACTAAGACACTCAAGCAACATATCTAGCTAGGACTTTGTGACACTTGTTTTTTGCACTAGATTTATTTTCATGGTTACTTTTACTTAAGACAAAGGATACTAGCTTCCAATTTTTAGTAATGATACCAACTTTACTTTTACAACAAATATTTTTAATGAAAAAGAATAAATCACTATAAAGAAAAACACAAAGTAAAATAATAATACAGGTGGTATGTAGGTATGGCAAAAATTGTGAGAATGGTACCAAAATGACTGAAATGTGGGAGACTTTTAATCAAATCATCTCTCAACTCTACTGAGTTTAAGCTTCTGCTCCAGAACTGGAATATCAGCCTGTCCCCATCTGTCTTCTCCCTGCTGCCAGGTAATACCACCTTGAGGTCCCACAACAGCCACTGAGGGTTAGTGTGTGGTGTGAAGATGTGGGAGGATGCACTCACAGGTTCTTAAAGGCATCCTCACGCAGGTCCCGGGGGAGCCTCTCCGTGATGTCCGGTTGGAGAAAGCTGCCTGAGGAACCCCGAAGCACCCTGCCCAGGATCTCCACACACTCCAGGGAGTTCAACACCTGGAAACACCTCTCCAGTGTGATGAGAAACAGGCTGCGGTTCACTCCAGGGCTCTGCAAGGCTTGTTCCCGAATTTCTCCCACATCGATGACAATGTCTTTCAGGTCCTAAAGCAATGAGAGAAGCTACAGTTGCCTTGAGAGCTGCCTTGATTTGGAGGCCCTGAGAGGGCCCACACATTGCAGCAGTGGGGACATTTGTGATCACCTTTTATCACCACGCTGCTCGTCAAAACTTCTAGAACTTTCCGTCACCTATAGAACAACGTCAAAGCCTTTACCTGCTCCACTCACTCAGGAGCCTTCTCGCTCTCCAGATACACCATGAATGTCATGCCTCAGGTTCTTGGAATTGCTGGAATCCCTTTCCCACTCCTCCTCCTTCTTCTTTTTTTTTTTTTGAGTTGGAGTCTCACTCTGTCGCCCAAACTGGATTGCAGTGGCCGCTTCCGGCCACCGCAGCCTTGCCTGCTGGGCTCTAGCGATCCTTCCGCCTCAGCCGACCGAGTAGCTGGAACTATAGGCGCGCGCTATCACGCCCGGCTGATTTTTTGATTTATTGTAGAGATGAGGTCTCGCCAAGTTGCCCAGGCGGGTCTCGAACCCGCGGGCTCAGGCAATCCACTCACCTCAGCCTCCCAAAGGCGCGGGATTACAGGCTGAACCACCGAGCCCGGCACTCCTCCTTCTTCTAAAGAAATCTAGCTCATTCTTTAAGGCTGGGCCCAGTCATCACCTCTTTAGGAAGTCTTCTCTAATCCCCTCCAATTTCCTACTTCAAATCATTATGTGCTCTCAGGGCATCCTGAACCAAAAGTGACGATGTATTAAAGAGGCTCATGTGCCTGTCTTTTCTTCAGGTCTCTGGTTCTCAACTCTGGTTGCATATCAGAATCATCTGGAAGTTTCTAGAAAGCACTAATCTCCAGCAGGCTGGGTTTGGTGGCTCATGCCTGTCATCCCAACACTTTGGGAGGCCAAGGTGGGAGGATTGTTTGAGTTCAGGAACTCAAGACCAGCCTGGACAACATAGTGAAACCTCATCTCTACAAAAAAATCAAAAAAATGAGCCCAGTATGGTGATGCACACCTATAGTCCCGCGACTCAAGAAACCGAGGCAGGAGGATTGACTGAGCCCAAGAGGTAGAGGCTGCAGTGAGCCATAATCTTGCCACTGAACTCCAGTCTGGGTGACAGAGTGCGACTCCCAGACTAAAAAAAAGTACTGATCTCCAACAAATGCTATCTGGAGTCTGATTTAACTGATCTGGGTGGAGCCTAGGCATTGATTCCAACATTTATTCAGAGTTGAGCTAGAAACATTCTTGTGACCCAAGCTATGTACAGAGTGGAGTGCCTGGTACCTAGAAGACAATGAACACATGGCCTGTTAGAATAAATGGGTGAATTAATGAATCTTTTGAACCACAGAGCCTAGAAATGCTGACAAGGCTTAGTCACCATCTGATGAATCCCTTCTTCACACTATATACCATTTACTGAGCATTGACTTCACACCAGGCACCATGCCAAACATGGAAAAAACATGCATTACCTCATTTAATTCTCATGACAGTTCTATAGGTTAAGCACCATGGGTCCTAGGGTCAGACATTCCCAGGTTCAAATCCCAGTGCCTCTGCTTATTATCTGCATGTCCTTGAGCAAATGACTTATCTTTTTTAAGTCCCGTTTTCTCTTTTGTAAAATGGAGATAAACTCAGGACCTATTGCTTAGACCTGTAGGAATGGAATGAGATAATGAATGTAAAATGCCTGGTGCCTGTGAACACTCAACAAATGTTACATGCTATTATTATCTCAATAGCACAGGTGACTGAAACAGAGAATAAGCCACCAGCCCAAATGCACAATTGAGCTGGGATCTGGAAAAAAAAATGTATCTGGGCACAAACCCACACTTTAACCAGGACCAAGTGTTTCCTAACTTCAGTCATTTGCTGTAGGTGGCTAAACAGTGTAATGGTTAAGAGTGCACTTAAGGGTTCTGAAGCAGGGGACATAGGTAGAGCTTGGAGCATCAGTGAACACTGGGGGAACACTGTATCCTCATTTTTACCCACACAGAACTGACCTTTAGCATTTCCCTCAGGGATAAATGGAGGCAACAACGTATGGTAGTAACAGGATCTTTGACCTCTGATCGAAATCTCAGATACGTTCATATCACATCACATTGTTGCAGATATTTTGAAATCCTATTTACACTCAATATGTCCTCAAAATTACAGAATGTATTAGACTTGTTGCTAAATCTTGTTACTGAATGTGTTAAAGAAGCACAAATTTCTACACCCTAATTATGTCTTTATACATTTTGATGAATGTTTTTTGATAGAATTGGCTTCCTTTGCATTTTTAAATAGATTTTAAAACATTCGAAAAAGGGGACTATGGACATCACCAGATTCAGATTTGCTACTTCCAAGCTATGTAAATTGAGGCTACTTAACTGAATTTCTCCAAGCCCATTTCCTCATCTGAGTATTGGAATGGCAAGATTCTTTTATCAATCTTATTTCTGAAGGCTCTGAAGAGGATTCAATGAGTCCATGCATGTAAAACTCTTAGAAAAGTGGTCAGCAAGCTATGACCCACAGCCCAAATCTGGCCCACCACCTATTTTTGTGAATAAAGTTTTACTGAAACACATCCACACCCATTAATTTTCTTATCACTTACGGCAGCTTTCACAATGCAATGGCAGTGAAGAGAGTAACTGACACAGAGAGTCTCAAAACATTTGCCTGCAAAGCCTAAAATACTATCCAGCCCTTTACAGAAATAGTTACTTGGTCATTTCCTTAGATAAATACCTCTCACATGGTAAACCCTCAATAAACATTAAGCAATATCATGTTCATGAACCACCCTATTTTTCCACTGCCTTTATTTCATATTTTTATTTCAAGAACTCTTTTTTAAAACTTAAATTTATTTCAAAAGAAAATTTTACATTCCTTTATCAAACTGGTTTGATGAATTCATCATATTTTAATAACAGACATTAAACTAAGTATATCATGAACATGTTTAAACGGTTCAACTGCTTTTGGAAAACATTGCTTCATACCAAACTATCTCCAATTAAAAAAAAAAAACTCTAAACCTCATCTTTTGGATCCCAAGGACCTTGTGGGGCTCAGAGGCCTTATTTTGTGATTTCTTATATCACTAACCTCATTTTGTGGAAATTTGTGTTTCTGTTTTTGCCTCCCCTCTAGACTATAAGTTTCTTGAGGACAGGAACAGTCTGTCATCTGTTGCCCACTGTTGCATAATAATCATTTGAGTGTTTATCAAACCAAACTATTAAAAGATCCTGAGCACCCCTCATTTTTTAGTGCCCACTCATGATAAGACTCTTCATTTGAACTTTGGAGAACGTGAGAAAACCCAGATCCTAAAATTCCCAGAAGCTTGAAGAAGAGGGAGGAAGAGAGAAGAGATAAAGAAGGGAAAAATCATAACATCTGGATCTACAAAGAACTCAAAGCATGCCAAAAAGAAAAAAACAAACAGCCCCATTACAAAGTGGGCAAAATATAGGAATAAACACTCTCAAAAGAAGGTACACAAGCAGCCAACAGATACACAAAAAAATGCTCAGTCTCTTTAGTCATCAAAGAAATGCAAATTAAAACCACACTGAGATACCACCTAACTCCAGTCAGTATGGTCATCATCAATAACTCAAAAAACAACAGATGCCGGAGAGGATGTGGGGAAAGAGGATCACTTCTACACTGTTGGTGGGAGTGTAAACTAGTACAACCCCTGTGGAAAACAGTGTGACAATTCCTAAAAGATCTAAAAATCAATCTTCCCAGCTGGGGTCAGTGGCTCAGTCTGTAATCCTGCGCTTTGGGAGGCTGAGGTGAGTGGATTGCCTGAGCCCGTGGGTTCGAGACCCACCTGGGCAACTTGGCGAGACCTCATCTCTACAATAAATTTTTTTTTTAAAAATTAGCCGGGCGTGGTAGCACGCGCCTGTAGTTCCAGCTACTTGGAAGGCTGAGGCGGAAGGATCACCGGAGCCCAGCAGGTCGAGGCTGCAGTGGCCGGGAGCAACCACTGCACTTCAGTCTGGGTGACAGAGTGAGACTCCAACTCAAAAAAATAAATAAATAAAAATAAAAATCGATCTTCCATATGACCCCGCAATCCCCCTGCTGGGAATATACCTGGAGAAATTCAAATCACTCTATGAAGAAGATACCTGCACACGCATTGTTTATTGCTGCATTATTCACAATAGCAAAAACATGGAACCAAACATGCTGCCCATTGAAAGAAGACTGGGTCTTTAAAATGTGGTACATATACACAATGCCATATAGAACTAAATTATGGACTTCACAGCAAATTGGATGGACTTAGAGTCTATAATACTGAATGATCTATCACAGAAACAAAGAACTGGGTACCACATGTTCTCACTCATAAGCAGGCTTTGAACAATTATCACAATACTATAATAAAGGGATTGACAGTAGTGGGAAACTGCTGGGGGTGAAGAAGGTGAGATTGGCGGTAGTGGGGATGGGGGGGACACCTCATCAACAAGAGAACCTGCATAATGAACATTTGTATACCTAACCTTGAATTGTACCCCATATCTTTAAAGTAAAAAGTTTAAAGGAAAAAAAGGGCCAAGGCCTGAGTCAGGCTTCCTTGGATTCATTTCAATGAAAACCAACTGGCCCTGGACCTTTCTGCTCCTGGGATGCCCAGAACGCCTCACCAAGCGGTCCTTCTTGTCTTCTAAGAGGCATTTCATGGCGGTGCGGAATTGCTGTGCATCTGTTTTTCTCAGGTCTTCCAGAAGATTCTGGGGCTGGTACAAACATTGCTCCAGGTGATTCTCCACGGCTGCCTGGATGTGGGGTGTTGGGAAAGTCGGTGAGGACAGAAAGGCAGGAGCACGCGGTCAGCACCACGGCCAGCACCACGGCCCACATACCTCAAGCCCTGCAGACACCACAACCAGCAGATGTGTTTGGTTTGGCCAGCTCTAAATGTTCTCATTAGCTGTTGACATTTAAAAGTCAGGGAATTCCTCACAAAATCCAGATTTCCCATTTATTTTGGAAAATCCAGAGATTTGGCAACACCGGACACACATCCCCTTTTGGGGGATAATTGATGGGCCAAGGGACCGTTGCTTGCTGAAGTAACGCTGCAAGCCCGGCCATCCTGATTTCCACATTCTGTGGCCTGCCTGCTCTCCATAGGCGACTGAAGTCGCAAGTCTAGAGCCGCTGGTCTTTGTCCTAAAAGTTTAGTGCCCCCAGATGGCGCTGCGCTCAAACTTCAGCTGTCAGCCCAGGAGCAGAATTCAGGGGAAATGAACGAATTCTCTGTGACGACCTCTCCAGGACAAGGAAGGAGCAACAGCCAGAAGCTTCTCTTGAAAGAGAGTTCCTCTGCTATCTGGAGAATTATTTCCTAAGCCTCCCTTAAACAGAGGTGCTCTAGGAAGGCAATACAGTGTGATGCCATGGGCAAGAGGAATTCTAAATCAAGACAACCCACATGTAAATCCTCACCTTGATGCTAACTAGCTCTGTAGCCTGGGCAAGTTACTTACCTAGTGTTGCTAGGTCAAACACAGGATGCTCAGTTAAATTGGAACGCCAGGTAAACAACGAATCATTTTTTAATATGTATAAGTATGTTCCAATGTTCCATGGGACATACTTAACCAAAAAACGACTCATTGTTTATCTAAAATTCAGATGTAACTGGACATCTGTGTTTTATTAGCAATGCTACTTCTGGGCCTCAGTTTTCCTATCTGAAAAATGGGGGCAATAGTAGGCCTTACCACATAGGCTTATTAGGAGGACTAAGTGACTGTGTAAAGTGTTTTCGATAGTGTCTAGCACACAAGTGCTCAATAGTGCCAGCTATTATTTCTGTTCTAAATGAGTTGAATAATGATTTACTTAATGTCTCTCCCCATCTCCAATAGAATAAAAGGTCTATGAGAGTCGTAACATGACTATCTTGAGCTCCTGTAAGTCTCTAGTATCTAAAACTATGCCAGGAAGAAAGTAGATGTTAAATAAGTAGATATTGAATGAATAATTGAATATGGTATATACATAGGGAGCGGTATATCTAATCATCAGGCTAAAATAGATACTTCTCATGCGAAACCTTATTGCTAGAGAAAAAAAGGATAGGCATTACTTTTTTTTTAGGTTCCCATGTCTAGTGAAGAGAAAAGGGAAAGAAGGTGCTATGTAGAGCCAACAGCCACTTCCAGGTAGGGGGTGTCTTCATACCTGGTAGACAACCAACTCTCTGAGTATAGTTGTGGCATGAATGTTGGTTGATATTAAATTGAAACAACAAAGACATACGTCAAAACTGTATTCATTGGTCGATGATGCGAGCGGCTTCTTTACTAAACCAGGTAAATAATTTTTGAATACTGAAAGAAATATTTCCTCAATTTTCTGTGCTACACCACACTGAGCTAGTGGTCAAGCTGAAGAGACAAGTGCTGTCCAATTTGTCACAGTCCCCATCATGCCCTAGTGCCCCTTAAGGCAAATATCCATTGCTACCTATTTACATGTTTATGCTGTTGTTTTCCTTATAATAGAGTTAAAAGGGAAAGAAAAAATATTTCTTGGACCCGTAATTGAGAGATTGATCATTATGCCCAAATATCCACTCCTTTACTGTTCTTGTTATCTATAGAAACCCTCAACTTTTAGCCAGATCATGACTCCTTCAAAGTAAGATATGACTGTGACGTGTGAGCCAATGTAATGTAAGCAGAAGAAATTGTATAACTTGCAAGTCATATCCTTAGAAAAAAAGACATTTATCCATCACTTCCTCTTTCCATTCACCTCTTCTGGGTTGGAGAATGAATGTGGTGTTTCAACTGCATGGGTTGAACTTCTTAGGGGATGACAGAGCAAAAAGATGAAAGGAAGTTTGATCCCTGAATGGCCTTACAGAATAGAGCTGCCCTTCCTTTGTGGATCTCCCACTTAGCTCTGGACTATTACATAGAAAGAAATACACTAAATTATTTGAGCTGCCTTAATTTTGGGTCTCTTTGTTACAGAAGCTCGGCCTATTCCCTAATATGCCATGTCTCCATCAAAGGTGGGAAAGTGAAAAAAAAAAGACAAAAGAGTTATATCAAGTTTCAATAAACACTGGACAGAGCACTTATCCTTGCAGAAGCAAAGACTATCTCCATGCTCACTTCTCCAATTTACCTGGGCCCTGAACATGCAATTCCTGAGCACTGAAAAGGGAACATATAGATGGGTCTCAGGTACACACCTGCAGGCTGGGGATGGTAAAGGCAACATTCCGTGAATTCAGATAGGCCAGGATTCTGTGGGACAAGTCCTCCGTCCACACGTGGGATCTTCAGTCAAAGACAGACAGGAAAAAGTCACAGTGACAGGTTCTCTTACAAGCAGTGCTGCACTAGCATCTGTTTTTTAAACTTAAGATAGTAAGGACATCTTTCCAAGTCAGACAGTTTAGCTTGTAGTCAATCTAAATGTTTTGGGGATTAAAATATTGTATACAGCTTAGAAACGGAGAATTGTCTTTGAGAAAATGGGATTCCTCAGTCCAGGCAGACTCCATCTATCCATCCAGAATTGGAAATGGGATCCACTATCACTGTGCCTGGTTAAGAAATCTACTTCTAGCTGGGCTCGGTGGCTCAGCCTGTAATCCCAGCGCTTTGGGAGGCTGAGGTGAGTGGATTGCCTGAGCCCGCGGGTTCGAGACCTATCTGGGCAACTTGACGAGACCTCGTCTCTACAATAAATGAAAAAAATTAGCCGGTCATGGTAGCGCATGCCTGTAGTTCTGGCTACTTGGAAGGCTGAGGCGGAAGGATCACTGGGGCCCAGCAGGTCAACACTTGGTGGCTGTGAGCCTGTGTCCCCCTGCACTCCAGCCTGGGTGACGCGAAGTGAGATTCCAACTCGAAAAAAAAAAAAAAAAAGCAGATGCTGTCTATGCCACAAGAGGCTGGAGTGGCATAGTTAAGAGCTGGACTCCAAGCCGGGCTCGGTGGCTCAGCCTGTAATCCCGCGCCTTTGGGAGGCTGAGGTGAGTGGATTGCCTGAGCCCGCGGGTTCGAGACCCACCTGGGCAACTTGGCGAGACCTCATCTCTACAATAAATCAAAAATTGGCCGGGCGTGGTAGCGCACGCCTGTAATTCCGGCTACTCGGAAGGCTGAGGTGGAAGGATCGCCGGAGCCCAGCAGGTCGAGGCTGCGGTGGCCGGGAGCGGCCGCTGCACTCCAGTCTGGGCGACAGAGTGAGACTCCAACTCAAAAAAAAAAAGAGTTGGACTCCAAATCCAGATTTGAATCATGGCTCTTCCACTTAATTTTGTGGCCTTTGCTAAATTTGTGGCCTTTGCTAAATTTGCTAAATTTCCTTGTGCTTCAGTTTTCCTTTCCATGATATACGGTTAACAATTGTGAGGATTAAATTCATCCTCACATATAAATTGCTTGCAACAGTACCCAACACATACATAGTAAATGCTCACAAATAACTGTCCATAATTCCACATTTGCTATAAATAAATGGATGGATAGATGGATAAATAAATAAATTTTAAAAATATTTCAACTGAAATAATATATGCAAAATGATCAATTGGCATTATCTTAGAGAGAGAACTGCTTATGGGAATCTTTCACTTTAACATAACTGGGTGCCCCTGACATGAAATCCCAAGGCCCACATTTCTTCTCCTCCATAATACTCATCATTTTAGAATTACTTCTTTGTTTGTTTTGTTTGTTTGCTTGCTTGTTTGAATCAAAGTCTCATTCCATCACCCAGGCTGGGGTGCAGTGGCACGCTCACCATTACCACAGCCTCGACCTGCTGGGCTCAGGTGATCCTTCCACCTCAGCCTTCCAAGTACCTAGAACTACAAGCATGTGCCACCACACCTTGCTAATTTTTTGATTTATGGTAGAGATGAGGTCTCGCCAAGTTGCCCAGGCTGGTCTCAAACCCATGAGCTCAAGCAATCCTCCCACCTTGGTCTCCCAAAGTGCTGGGATTATAGGCGTGAGCCACCATGCCCAGCCGAATTATTTCTTAATATTGGCCTTTCCACAACACTATCTAGCTCCCTGTCCCACGTCCCCTGTATCTAACACAGGCCTGTATGTAGCATATAGCATGACAGTGAAGGGAATGGGCGCTGGAGACAGACTGCTGGTTCACATCCCAGCTATTGGTCTCGATTCACCCATCCTGGGCCTCAGTTGCAGTATTCTGTGGAATGGGATAATAACAGGACCTACCTTGTAGGGCACTTGTGAGGATTAAATGTTTTTCTATGTACCAATCACTTAGAATAGTACCCACATAGACATAGAAAGCACTCAATAAATTTCAGCTCTTATGCTATAGCAGAGGAGGAAACACTTATGCATTGGTTAACATTTTTGTAATGAGGACGTATTACTTTGTACAATTAAGAGACTTCTGAAACACTTGTTCATTGGTTGACATTTTTGTAATGAGGACGTATTACTTTGTACAATTAAGAGACTTCCATTAAGAATTTTTATTAAAAATCCATCCCATCCTTTCCCCTCCCCCTAGGACAGGTTACCTTTGAAACTGTATGAGATCCAGTAATGCTACAATGGGAATAAAATGAAAAGACAACTTAAAAAGGAATCATTCCAGAGAGATCACAGCCGCATGCTGTTTGAAATTCTTAGGAGAAACAAGTGGAGACAGAAGGGGCACATTACCATTCAGATAGCTTCCATCTATTATTTCTTCCTAAAAGGCAAAGCGATAACATCAAGTATGACATGAAGAAGTTGGCAGTTCCAGGAGAGGGGATTTTGATTAAAAGGAAATGGAATACTCACCGCCATTTTTTGCAACAACGGATGCAAATCTGTAAGAAAACCATTGAATGTATAACTAGAATTGAATTGTGTGACCTTCAAAAATACAAATATGAGTTAGGAGAAAAGGCCCGAAAAAAACCACTCATGAAAGAAATTCATGGTGATTTTTAATTATAACTGCACCCAGTGTGAGAAAGCCTTGATCTGAAAAACGCTTTTTAGAATAATCCTGAAAATCCTACATACACACACACGCACGCACGCATGCACGCACACACACACGCACACACACATGCATACACACACATGCCCCAAAACAATTTAAGGCATCATGTACCTAAACTGATCTATCCCTCTACACCCCCTAAGATGTGTGGAAACCGCAAAGTGTGATTCTTCCCTCAGGACTTACCCTGCCTGGAATTTGGAACTTCATGACCTGCTGCTCCATAGCTCAGAACAAGGAACAGGAAGAATGAGCATATCATGGGTTCCTGAGACATCCTTCTGCTGCAGTTAATTCAAGCATAGAAGTAATTCCACTTTTTAAAACATGTATTTAAGGACATTCAGATGACAAAAGAAAAAGACAAATAGACATAATATTTTTTAATCATTTAAAACTTCTGGCCAGGTGCGGTGGCTCAAGCCTGTAATCCCAGCACTTTGGGAGGCCAAGGTGAGACGATTGCCTGAGCCCACGGGTTCAAGGACAGCCTGGGCAACTTGGCGAGACCTCATCTCTACAATAAATCAAAAAATTAGCCGGGCATGGTAGCACACACCTGTAGTTCTGGCTACTTGGAAGGCTGAGGTGGAAGGATCACCTGAACCCAGCAGGTCGATGCTGGGGTGACCGTGAGCATGCCACTGCACTCCAGCCTGGGTGATAAAGTGAGACTCCAACTCTAAAAAATAAAAATTCTATCTACTTTTCTCCATCAAAATCCCTATTCTAGTCTAAAACACAATCTAGTCTAAGACACAATCATCTCTCTCCTTGGTAACTACAATGGCCTGTTTATATTCTTACCATTACCCCCTATTCCCCTCCATCCAGGAAAGAGACATGGTCAAAAGTATAGGCTGTTATAAGTGCAAGAAATTTATATTCAGATTATATATTTTAAAAACTCTTGTAATTCAGTAAGAAGAAGATAAGCCAATGGGAAAAAATGGAGAAAAGATACAGTAGTCCCCTACATACAAATGAGTTCTGTCCTGAGAACACGTTTGTAAGACCAATTTGTTCGTAAGTCCAACAGAGTTAGTCTGGTACCCAACTAACACAATCGGCCATGTAGTAATGTACTATAATAGGTCTATAATACTTTTCACACAAATAATACATAAAAACAAACAAAAAATAAAACATTTTTAATCTTACAGGACAGTACCTTGAAAAGTACAGTAGTACAGTACAGTACAACAGTTGGCATACAGGGGCTGGCATTGAGTGAGCAGGCAAGAAGAGTTACTGACTAGGGGAGGGAGAGGAGGTGGCAGATGGCAAAGGTGAAGGATCGTCAGCAACAGAAGATGGAGGACGAGCTGCAATTTCGCTCAGGCCTGATGTTGATGGCACAGGTGCCGGTTCCTTGCTGGATTCAATTCTATCCACTCTCTTGAAAAAATGATTCAGTGATATCTGGGTAGTAGCTCTTTTTTTCTCTCTCTCTCATCACAGATGACACAGTAGCACTGGATTGCATTCTGAACAGGTGCTGCAACCTTCATGTATCATTCTACATTTGGGTCCTGTGCCTCAAAAACTGACAGTGCCTCCTCAAATGATGCAAATGCACATTTGCATCTTTGAAAGTTTGCAACTTGAAGGTTCATATGTGTTTTACGGTATAAAGTTAAATTTCATAAAAATAGATATATAAATGGCCATTAAGCACACAAAAGATCATTACAACACTAGTTAACAAGAACTCACGTATTAAACCCATAATGAAACCACTAAAAATTAACTCAAATAGTTAAAAGTTTTAAAGACAGACAATAACAAATGTTAGTGATGATGTGGAACAGCACGAACTCTCATATGTTGCTGACAGAGCTGCTTTGGAAAACTGTTTGTCAGAGTCTTATAAAGTTAAATTTACAATACTCTATGCTCAAGGAGGAATGCCACTCCTAGGTAATCAGGAGAAATGAAAGCATGTCCATACAAAGATTTGGATAGCTTCATTCAAAATGGTCAAAGATTGGACATAACTAAAATATGCAACAACAGGTGAAAGGTTAAACATTGTGTATCCATTCAATGGAATACCACTCAGTAACAAAAAAGGAATTAGGCAGGACGTTTAGGGAGGCTAAGGCAAGAGGACTGCTTGACCCCAGGATACCAAGATCAGCCTATGCAATATAGTGAGACCTCATTTCTACAAAAAAATTACAAAATTAGCAGCTACTTGGGAGGCTGAGACAGAAGGATCTCCTGAGTCCAGGAGATCAAGGCTGCAGTGAGCCACTGCACTCTAGGTGACAGAGTGAAACTCCAATTCACCAAAATAAAATAAAATGTGAATTAGTTAGAATTTGCTTCCAGCTATGATGGAGTAATTGGCATTGGTTAAGTCCTCCTGTCTCAAACAATTAGAAAACTGACCAAAATATGTGACACAAAGGCTTTCAGACATTGGACAACAGGTAGCACGAGACTGAGATCACTAAAAGAAGGGAAGCAAACAAGCAGAGCCCCTATGATTACTTCTGCTTGCTGCCTGGTGTCTCCAGACCATAGCACAAGGAGAAGGAATCCAAAAAGAGCCTAGAAGTAGGAAGGTGGAGTAGGAGTTCAGGAAAATCAAGGCAGCTAGAATCCACAGGGAAGAATACTTGAGAAGGAGGAAGTTGCAAAGAAAGAGAAAGTTCTAGAGATCTGAAGAAGGGTCTCTTGAGTCTTGTTGACCCACCTATGAATGTAAAAAAAAACCACCTTAGACTGGAGAATGAATCACCAGTAGGCAGAACAATCCTTGAAACTCACATGGGACTGAAAATAGTTCCCACCAGCTACAGTGGAAAACCCTTCAAATATATTAGGCATCAAAGATAGTTCTCAGAGAAGAATTGCCTCAGTAACAGGCCAAATTAGCCCTACACTAAATAAAGTCTACTCTGAATATGCCCTAACAAAGCTTAAAAACAAGTCTTGAAAAGGTCAAGCTGATTCCAAGTAATTGAATTCCAACCCAGAACAAAACTCAACAATATTTAAAGCAATATTATACAATCCAGCAACCAGCAATGTAAAATCCAAAATGTCCAGCATCCCATCAAAACTTACCAGGCATGAAAGGAGCAGGAAAATACGGCTGATTACCAGGAGAATAACCCAATATAGTGAGATCTCATCAATAGGAACAAATCCAGAAATGATGCAGAAGAAGATTGAATTCCTAGACAAGAATGATTATTATAAATATAGTCTGCAAATTCAAGAAGGTAGAGAAAAGTGGGACCATGTTAAAGAAGAGACATGGAGTTATCAAAAAAAAAAAAAACCAAACAAATGGAACTTGTAGAAATGAAAATACACTATCTGAAATGAAAAATACTTTGGATGAAACTAACAGCAGGTTAGACACTGCAGAAAAAAAAGATTAATGAACCAGAAGTCACAGCAATAAAAACTATCCAAAGTAAAACACGGGGGGGAAAACTGAAGAAAAAAAATAGAGCTCTGGGACAATATGAAACTATTTGAAATATATGTAATTGGAGTCCCAAGGAAAGAGTGAGTAGCAGAAACATATTCAAAGAAACAATGATCAAAATTATTTAACGTCTGATAAAAACTATAAACCCGCAAACCCCCATGCTAAAAAAACCGACACAGCAGAAATACGAAAAAGACCACACCAAGGCACATAATAACTAAATGGCTAAAACTAATGACAAAAAAATCCAGCAAAGGAGTTGCCTATAGAATATATAAAGAACTCTCAGAACTGAAAAATAAATAATCCAGTTAGAACATAAGCAAAAGACATCAGCAAGATATATCACCAAAATAGATATGCAGATGGCAAATAAACACATGAAAAGATATTCCACATCATTAGCCATTATGGAAATGACATTTGAAACCACAATATCACTACAGACCTATCAGATGGTTAAAATAAAAAGTGATAATAATGTCATATGCTGGAAAGTATGTGGAGATACTAGATCACTCATATATTGCTGATAAGAATATATGAATAATTCATATATGGGGTCAGGAGTGGTGGCTCAAGCCTGTAAACCCAGCACTTTGGGAGGTCGAGGCAAGAGCATTGCCTGAGTCCAGAGGTTCAAGACCAGCCTGGGCAACTTGGTAAGACCTTGTCTCTATGATAAATAAATTTAAAAAATTAGCCAAGCACAGTGGCGCATGCCTATAGTTCCTACCTGGAAGGCTGAGTCAGAAGGATCACCTGAGCCCAGCAGGTCAAGGCTATTGTGGCCGTGAGCGTATCACTGCACTCCAGTCTGAGCCACAGTGAGACCCCCAACTCAAAAAAAAAAAAGAATATGAAATGGTACAACTATTCTGGAAAATAGTTTAATCGTTTCTTACTTATAAAAGTAAGCATGTACTTCACATACAGCCCAGTAATTTCACTCTTAGGCAGTTATCCCAGAAAAATGAAAACTTATGTTTACATAAAAACCTGTACACAAATGTTCATAGCAGCTTTATTCATAGTAGAGAAAAAAAAACTGGAAGCAATCCAAATGTCCTTCAATGGGTGAATGGTTAGGCTGTGATGCATCCATGCCAGCAATAAAAAGGAGCAAATTTGTTCCAAGCAACAATTCAGATGAACCTAAATGGAATTATGCTGAAGGGGACAAAAAACCAATCACAAAAGCTATATGCTGATGGTTTTATTTATATAGCATTCTTGAAATAAGAGAATAGAAATGAAGAACAAATTTGTATTTGCCCTGGGTAGAAGGAGATGTGGCTATTAGGAGTAGCATGAAAGAACCTTGTGATCATAGAACCATTCTGGGTCTTGATGAGGGTAGTTGTTACATGACTCTATACATGTGACAAAATTGGAAAAACAATAGACATATACACACACAAAGAAGTGCGTGTAGAACTGGTGAAAATGAATGAGCTCTGAGGATTGTACCATGTCAATTTTCTGGATTTGATATTGTACTATTGTTGTTATACAAGATGTAACCACTGGGGGAGACTGGGTGAAGCATACATAGGACCTCTTTGTATATGGTTTTTGCAACTTTCTATGAAGCTGTAATTGTTTCAAAATTTAACAAATGTTAAGCACTCAAAGGAGAAAAACATATTATGTGCCCAGGAAAAGCAAAACACTACTGATGTATGCAACAACATGAATGAACCTCAGAAACATTATGCTAAGCCAAAGAAGTCAGACACAAGAGAGTATATACTGCATGATTTCATTTCTGTGGAACTCTAGGCTAGGCAGAACAATCAACAGTGACAGAAAACAAGTCCAGAGTGGCC